CCTGAAATTTTTATGGATGGTGGTCCAGTTTTAGCAGTTAGATTGACCGAGATCTTAGGTAGAATCTGGGAACTGGACGTAATCCCATCCGAGTGGTGTCAATCACTGATTGTCTCAGTCTATGAGAAATGACAGAAGTCCTCTTGTGACGATCACAGAGGAATCGGTTCGACTAATATAGCATCGAAAATATCGGCCTCATTAATACTCGGACGCCTAACTAGAGCTGAAAATTCAGACGAGGATGAGGTTATATCTAGAAGCATGTCTATGACAAAGTTAAACTAGAATGGAGAGAGTGGGCAGCCCTGACGGACACCACTTGAAGTATAGAATTCCGATGACAGTTCGCCATGAACTCTGACCCCATCCAGTGGTGTTCGAGCAGAGAGCTTGTATAAGTTTAATGCACTTCTTTGGTAAACCTTTCAACGACAGACACTGCCACAGAACCTCACGATCCACAGAGTCAAATGGCTCCTTAAGGTCCAGGAAGACAACTATTGTCGGACGCCTGAACGAGTATCCATGTTCTAGGACATGGCTGTTGGGGATGTTAGATCCGCAGAACTCGCTTGATAAATGCCTTATTTCGGATTCAACCTTTGCGGGCATGAGCTGATCAGTCGACCTTGAGACCTCATTTCCTACCAGGAATATCCATGACTGTGATTGGCTGCTGTGTATTTCAGTGTGCTGTTTTCGTAGTTGTCCCAAGGACGTTTCTATGATGTATAAATAAACGAGAGTTGTATGCTTGATGGTATTGTGATTGCTGGGTGTTTGTAGAATATACTTTCTACGCTTATCAAGACTTCTGTTTACAGCTTGGGATTCAAGGTAGCCTATCTGGACGCTGGGAGCGTGACTGCAGAGTCCAAGGGACAACTGCTTGAGGCCGGTCACGCACTGCGTTTTTAGGGGAGAAGTTTTTGTAATGTTAGCCTCGATCTTGTTTAGGCCTTACCCGATAACTGAAAGCCGTGAGGTAAGGTGGGGTGTGATATTTTCAGGGATCAGTTCATCTGGCCTTCAGCAACACTTCGGTTGTCCACGATCCCCAGTCATCCTGAATGGCAAGTCGACGTAACTCCTTCGAGTCTTGATGAAGTTGCGAAAGCTATAGGAAGTCTGAAGCGAGGGCTAGCAGCGCGTCCTGATAGATTGACCCCTGAAATTTTTATGGATGGTGGTCCAGTTTTAGCAGTTAGATTGACCGAGATCTTAGGTAGAATCTGGGAACTGGACGTTATCCCATCCGAGTGGTGTCAATCACTGATTGTCTCAGTCTATGAGAAATGACAGAAGTCCTCTTGTGACGATCACAGAGGAATCGGTTCGACTAATATAGCATCGAAAATATCGGCCTCATTAATACTCGGACGCCTAACTAGAGCTGAAAATTCAGACGAGGATGAGGTTATATCTAGAAGCATGTCTATGACAAAGTTAAACTAGAATGGAGAGAGTGGGCAGCCCTGACGGACACCACTTGAAGTATAGAATTCCGATGACAGTTCGCCATAAACTCTGACCCCAACCAGTGGTGTTCGAGCAGAGAGCTTGTATAAGTTTAATGCACTTCTTTGGTAAACCTTTCAACGACAGACACTGCCACAGAACCTCACGATCCACAGAGTCAAATGGCTCCTTAAGGTCCAGGAAGACAACTATTGTCGGACGCCTGAACGAGTATCCATGTTCTAGGACATGGCTGTTGGGGATGTTAGATCCGCAGAACTCGCCTGATAAATGCCTTATTTCGGATTCAACCTTTGCGAGCATGAGCTGATCAGTCGACCTTGAGACCTCATTTCCTACCAGGAATATCCATGGCTGTGATTGGCTGCTGTGTATTTCAGTGTGCTGTTTTCGTAGTTGTCCCAAGGACGTTTCTATGATGTATAAATAAACGAGAGTTGTATGCTTGATGGTATTGTGATTGCTGGGTGTTTGTAGAATATACTTTCTACGCTTATCAAGACTTCTGTTTACAGCTTGGGATTCAAGGTAGCCTATCTGGACGCTGGGAGCGTGACTGCAGAGTCCAAGGGACAACTGCTTGAGGCCGGTCACGCACTGCGTTTTTAGGGGAGAAGTTTTTGTAATGTTAGCCTCGATCTTGTTTAGGCCTTACCACCGATAACTGAAAGCCGTGAGGTAAGGTGGGGTGTGATATTTTCACGGATCAGTTCATCTGGCCTTCAGCAACACTTCGGTTGTCCACGATCCCCAGTCATCCTGAATGGCAAGTCGACGTAAGTCCTTCGAGTCTTGATGAAGTTGCGAAAGCTATAGGAAGTCTGAAGCGAGGGCTAGCAGCGCGTCCTGATAGATTGACGCCTGAAATTTTTATGGATGGTGGTCCAGTTTTAGCAGTTAGATTGACCGAGATCTTAGGTAGAATCTGGGAACTGGACGTAATCCCATCCGAGTGGTGTCAATCACTGATTGTCTCAGTCTATGAGAAATGACAGAAGTCCTCTTGTGACGATCACAGAGGAATCGGTTCGACTAATATAGCATCGAAAATATCGGCCTCATTAATACTCGGACGCCTAACTAGAGCTGAAAATTCAGACGAGGATGAGGTTATATCTAGAAGCATGTCTATGACAAAGTTAAACTAGAATGGAGAGAGTGGGCAGCCCTGACGGACACCACTTGAAGTATAGAATTCCGATGACAGTTCGCCATAAACTCTGACCCCAACCAGTGGTGTTCGAGCAGAGAGCTTGTATAAGTTTAATGCACTTCTTTGGTAAACCTTTCAACGACAGACACTGCCACAGAACCTCACGATCCACAGAGTCAAATGGCTCCTTAAGGTCCAGGAAGACAACTATTGTCGGACGCCTGAACGAGTATCCATGTTCTAGGACATGGCTGTTGGGGATGTTAGATCCGCAGAACTCGCTTGATAAATGCCTTATTTCGGATTCAACCTTTGCGGGCATGAGCTGATCAGTCGACCTTGAGACCTCATTTCATACCAGGAATATCCATGACTGTGATTGGCTGCTGTGTATTTCAGTGTGCTGTTTTCGTAGTTGTCCCAAGGACGTTTCTATGATGTATAAATAAACGAGAGTTGTATGCTTGATGGTATTGTGATTGCTGGGTGTTTGTAGAATATACTTTCTACGCTTATCAAGACTTCTGTTTACAGCTTGGGATTCAAGGTAGCCTATCTGGACGCTGGGAGCGTGACTGCAGAGTCCAAGGGACAACTGCTTGAGGCCGGTCACGCACTGCGTTTTTAGGAGAAGTTTTTGTAATGTTAGCCTCGATCTTGTTTAGGCCTTACTGTTACGTCCAGTTTCTTGCTCGTTGATCTTTAGAAGCACGGTTGTCGTTCTACTTGCAATTCACGATCCCCAAATATTTAACCAAAAAGGGAACTCCAAAGTCGATACCAAAGTTTATTCCAAATCACAAAATCGACCAAAATATGTTATTACAAATAGACGACCAATGTCGTTCTAACAACAATAATTATAATAATTACAATTACCTTCTAATTTATTATCTCTTGGAGCAAAAAACTGCAACGAACAACAAAGAGAAACGGGAGTCCAATATGTACGCAAATAATAATTCAAACAAGTTCATAAGTTAAGTAAAACAAATATACCCAAAAAACAGTGAAATTAATTATATTTATACATGAAGGTTTTAATCAGCAAAATGTCTTCGTTTCTCCCGTAACACTTACCACCGATAACTGAAAGCCGTGAGGTAAGGTGGGGTGTGATATTTTC